TGCACTATTATAGTTTCAATTAAGTTGGTTTCGTATGGTGAAAACGATCATCAGATCACGTTTATTCACTCATTAGTCAATTCAGTTACTTGTTTCCATTCAGCTCGAATACTCACAAGTTTTGGCTGTGCGATCGTCAAACGTTCATTTCACAAACTAACTTAATGTTGTCATCACGCAAAATTGTCATTAGACTTTATCACTGTAATTAGCATATCCTCTACCGTTCACGAACATCCAGTAATTCTTTCACTCTTTCATCACCTCATTCAGCTGGTCCACTTCCCTCAATTTGCCGTAAATTCATGCATTCCCACATCTCGTTTATTTGTTTGATGACCTCCGAATCGAACTTGTTTGAAAAATCGACCGCTTTATTGACTGCATTATCCATGTGCCGTCCTCAAAGTGCTTGAGAGTAATTTCACTCTTTGAATTAGATGATAACCTGCCCAAATTTTATGTTATTTAATGAAAAAAAGAATATCATTTCAAACAAAGCTGTCTGCTCTTCTGTACATGAAAGTCGACAAAAAATTATTTTACACTTGAAATGAAGTGAAGTGGTCATGGAAGAGTGAGGAATTCAACTTGAAACGCTATGAACAAATCAATAAGATGTCACCCGTAAATCAGCTACTCTCAGTGTTCTTTTCAGCTAAGCAATGTTGCCTTTTGGTGGGCCTCATGGCTTTCCACATCTAATAAACTTACCTCCGAATACAACACCTGCATCTGCGTTCGTTCAACAGTCTATGCTAATGCCTCAGTTACAAAGAGGTTCGTTCATTTAATACATTAACTTCTACATTCATTAAATATTTGTCTCATTGCACATTTCTGTTGTTGTAGTGAATAGTAATTGTCAAATTAAATTGAATATTAATGATGGGTTAAGTTGACTGAGTGATTATTTAGGGACGGACTTAACGTGAGTGTTGAAAGTTCTGATGAAATTCAAGAGAGTCTTTCATGTGGTATTTGTTCGTGTGATGAATGTGAAGTGATGAAATTAATGACGGTACATTGATTGATTCAGTGATGGTCAGTAGTGCGCCTCAGATGCATTTGGCTAGTGCACCTGTGGTATCAATGGGGGCAATGGCCGCAGCCATAACCAACCAAATGCATCAGACGGCTGCAGCCATCTCGTCGTCGATCTCCTCAGCAGCCTCGTTAGCACAACAACAACAACAGCAGCAGCAGCAGCAGCAGCAGTTGAACAGCATGAACAACCCGAACTCTGTCCTCATGCCACATCAACTTACCGCATCGAATGCTGATCGTCTTTCTATTGGCAGTAATGCACACCCAACTGGACTTCGCACTCCTAATAGTAGTCATAATAATGGTAATGCTTTCGTTCGTTTAGATATTTGAATACTGTGAAGGATTTACGATAAGTCAACGATGATATGATCATGCCTATCCCAAATCAGTTAACTTCATCGGTTAAATCAGTTAAAGTTACAGTTTAACTAATGTACCACTAGAAGGCATCGTATTATATTCACTATTAAATAGTAATTGTGATGGTGAAATATTTCTTCAACGAGTGTTACACTTCTTCGCCACAGAAGTGTTACGCATCGAAGATAGAAGATTAAGTATTATTAATTTACTTAAATTACCTGGACTGGCCAGGATATCAAATGTTTGTAACGTTGCTGGCCACAATGCTCGCGTTTCCGTGCACATTGTTTTAACCTCAATTTACGCCACCCCGCTGGCTAGGCGAGCAGGCCGACCGAACACAACCGAGTAATTAATTAGTCGTCGTGAATACTTTGCATAATTAATTCTGGCCAAATATCAACCCAATAAATAATCATGTCTCTAATGAAATAAATATTCCGTCGACCACTTACAGCGATTGACAAAACAACCACACCATATCCAAGTATTATTAGTATAGCGTATAAATTATTTTTTGTTACAGAAAGCAATAGCAATGCAAATGTGAACATGTTACGTCCCAGTAATGCCATTCTGGCAGGATTATCGAATAACACATCAAATGTGTCATCGTCATCAACAACAGCCAGTGAGGTTCGTTTATGGTGTTGTATTGTTTGGCCGATTATCCACTGATTCATTCGTTTATCATTCGAATAATCTTTGGATTGTCGTTATACCATTGCTTTATCTCATCTACCAATATTGCCTTACAACAGAGATGAATTCTGAAGAGAGTGAAATTCGAAAAAAAAAGATAGGTTTCTCGTTTAGATATGGTCCGAGCATACAGCGTCTGATGGTCGAGTTTATTACTATAATAAGGTAACAAAACAGTCTTCGTGGACGAAACCAGAAGAGTTGCGAACACCTGAAGAGGTTAGTGTATCTGTTGCAATTGTGTCACAGGTCAGTGTGTTTGTTGGTATTGTTTTATTACTGATAGTATTATTGTTTGTGATCATTGTTATTCGTCAATATAATCAGCGCGTCGTACTATCAGATGACGATCTTTTGTTGTTGCAGCGAAAAGCAGCAGTAGCGCGTATATGGCGTGAGTATAAGACGGCTGAGGGTCGTCCTTATTACTACAATACGGAAACAAAAGAAACAACATGGACGTGTCCAAAAGATTTCGAACCCCGTTCCACAGCATCGTCAACAGTGGCATCATCGACTACCCCAATCAAGAGTAGGTTCATTGTAATCGATTTGCTTGCTATTCATACAAAAACGGCTATCGTAACTCACCACTTTCCAGTTGCTGACCTTATTAGTAACAATTTGGATTGTTCGAATCTGTTTCAAAAATTATGATGTTAGAAAGGTGAAATGAAGTATGCAGATTGCATTAGATTCTATTGAAATCAGTGTAAAATTGTTGCTATTTGATCAATTCTCAATAATAACTAATTTACTTAACATTTTTTCCATATCACTGATCAACTTTTAATTAATTCAGCTGAAAAACCGCAGTCAGTTGATACGAAGGAAACACCGTCATCAAGCACGGATGTCGCAAAAAAGGCGAACAGCGTTGAAGGGGAATCTGAATTAGAGAAGGCGATGATGGCAACACTGAAGAGTCTTGACCAACAACCAACGGTACATTCAAAAATTTTTCATTCGTTCGCATTTTCAGTTTTCTTTAGTTTTTTTCAGTCTGAATGCATCTTTCAGTCCTCTTATGTTTCCGACTCGTAACTCTCATCAGATTGTTTCACAGTTCTTTTAAATTCTGTCGCTAAATTGAATTGATACTGTTTCGTTCGACCGATTCAAGCTAGAATATTTGTGTAGTTAAAAAGTTTATTCATTGTAGTGATTAATGAATACCGTTGGGTCAATTAAGCAATCTCCATAAAATGAATGCTATTAAAGGTGGAAAAGGAAGACGAGTCGAGAGCTGAGAACGCAGAGAACGAACGGGGTGAGAGTGGTGTTACAGGGGACGAGGAAAAAGATTTGAAGAAAAAGCAGTCGGATAGATTCAGAGAGTTGTTGAGAGATAAGGTAGGAATGCGTGTGATTATTATGACTACTCACTCACATTTATAATCATTTCAGGTTATCAGGTTATGTCAAAAAATTCATCAGATTTTCATAAAATAAACTTCTTCCAATTTTTCAATGTTTGCCTCACGCCCAAACATGACTCGGATTTTGTCTTGTTGTTATTCTCGACGTTTACTGTTAGTATGCATTGAAATGTTGCAAATTCTCATGCTGATAGTGATATTGAAATAATTTATGAAACGGTATTGTTTGGAATAATGAGGAGTTAAGATTTAAGAAATTTGATGCATAGTTGAATTACGTGAAAGAATTTCAAATTTTATCG